TTCTCTAGGCTCGTTATTCTAGTTAGCATTTCATATAATATTTTTTCAAGGTTCTTAGTTGCTTTGCATTGGGTTAAAACATGTTCTTTTAGCTCAGAGAAGTTTGTTATTACCCATCTTCTGAAGCCTGCTTCTGTCAGCTCATGAAAATCATTTTCTGACATGTTTTGTTGCCATGCTGTCGATTCACTGTGATCTCTCTGGAGAGGAGAGGCGTTCTGGACTTTGATGTTTTCTTCCTTTTTGTGCTGGTTTCTTCCCATCTTCCCTGACTGGACATCCTTTCTGTTAAAGTTGGGGTTATTTCTCCTGTATGAGGCTTTTTTTTTTTTTTTTTAACGCAGGTGTCAGTGTGCCACTTGAGACAGTCTGTCTGTTGTCTGCCTGTGGAGGCGCTGCTGGGCTGCCTCAGTCTCAGCCAGGCTGTTTTTTCTTCACCTGGTTTCAGTACTGGTGGGGTTAGCCCCGCTTTCCCAACGGCGGGCTCTCTCCCTCTGCTGAGCCTGCTGTTCCCAGGTAGAGGATATGTTAACTGCAAAACTCTCCCGGGAAAGGGACTCCTCTTGCTGGATCTTGTGGGGGAGGGGCCTGTCTTGTCGGGTATCCCCGCCCCGCTTTCAACTCTCCCTTCTGTGGGACGGGCAGTTCCTTTTCGCCAGCTTTCTCGGTATTAGTCCAAATCTCTGCCCTGGTCCGCACTAACAAGGCACCGGTGTGGCTGGGGCTGCCGGCCTGGGCTGTTTCCCGGGTCTGCGACTCTGGGTGGTTCTCAGCAAGGTGGTGTTTTCCTGGTCTGTGTGTTGCTGAAGTCTCAGAGTGAATTGCTGTATCTGATTCAGAGAACTGAGGAGGTGATGCCCCCCCATCCTCTGTGCCTGATACACTTTCTAGGTGAGGCAGTGCCAGCTGGATGCCTTTGGGCTGCTTTTGCTGCCTTTTTTGGGGTTAATCCTGCGAATCAACCAGGCCCTTTAAAACAAAACTGGTACCTCGTTTGGAGACTCGGATGTCGCTCTGGTTCTGTCTCACTTGGTGGTAGCTGCACTCCGGAGAAGCTTCCTTTCGGCCATCTTCCCTGAATCTTCAGTAATATGATTTTCCACCTTGCTTTTTTTTTTTTTTTTTTTTTTCCCTT